AGAAGGAAAAGGTGGAGGAGGAGGAGGAGGAGGAGGAGGAGAGAGGAGGAGGAGGAGGAGGAGGAGGAGGGAGGAGGAGGAGGAGGAGGAGGAGGAGGAGGAGGAGGAGGAGGAGGAGAGGGAGGAGGTGGAGGAGGAGGAGGAGGAGGAGGAGAAAGGAGGAGGAGGAGGAGGAGGAGGAGGAGGAGGAGGAGAAGGGAGGGGGAGGAGGGGAGGAGAGGAGAGGCGTGCCTGAGGTCCCCATTCCTATCCAGCCCCGCCCCCTGGATTCTTCCTCTTTGGCAGCCCCCCTCGCACAATGCTGGAACTCCCCTGGGGACTTGTGAAGAGCAAGCTTGTCCGAGAAATCTGTTCTAAACGTTTCCCAATACGTGTGGTGTTCAGCTCTCCAGAAACTCCTTCGGAGACTTCTCCGAACTCCGTCCATATGCCTCCGGAAGGTATTCGTGGCGCTGCGCTGTCCGGGCTTTGGACTCCACATGCCCACAACTCCCTGGGGAACTCGTGAAGAGCCACGCCAGAGTGCGCCAGAATGCCCCCTAAGTCGGGCATGTCTCCCTACATGGGGATTTTGGACGAAAGGTTAAGTTATCCCGGCAAAGCAACCTAACAGCGATGTGAAAGAGCATATCTGGAAGTATTCAACTTTAGATTCATGTAGGATTCCTGTTGTAGAACGAACGAGACACTGCTATGAATGGATTTAGGTTCGAACGACTCACTGCATTCGGTAACTGTATCTCCAAACGAGACACTGCTATCAATGGGTTTACGTTCAAACGAGACACTGCCATCCATGGATTCAGCCCCAAAGAAGACACTGCTATCAATGGGTTTAGCCCCAAATGAGACATTGCGATCACTGGATTTATCTCTGAACGAGACACTGCTATCAATGGATTTCGTTTCGAACGACTCACTGCTTTCGAGAACTGCATCTCCAAACGAGGCACTGCTACCAATGGGTTTAAGTCCAAACGAGACACTGCCATCAATGGATTCAGCCCCGAAGAAGACACTGCTATCAATGGATTTAGTCCCAAATGAGACACTGCGATCACTGGGTTTATCTCTGAACGAGACACTGCTGTCAATGGATTTCGTTTCGAACGACTCACTGCTTTCGAGAACTGCATCTCCAAACGAGACACTGCTACCAATGGGTGTAATTCCAAACGAGACACTGCCATCAATGGATTCAGCCCCAAAGAAGACACTGCTATCAATGGAGTTAATCCCAAATGAGACACTGCGATCACTGGATTTATCTCTGAACGAGACACTGCTATCAATGGATTTCGTTTCGAACGATTCACTGCTTTCGAGAACTGCATCTCCAAACGAGACACTACTATCAATGGGCTTCATTCCAAACGAGACACTGCCATCAATGGACTTAGCCCCAAAGGAGACTGCTACTAATGGATTTATCCCCAAATGAGACACTGCGATCACTGGATTTATCTCCGAACGAGACACTGCTATCCATGGATTTAGTTTCGAACGATTCATTGCTTTCGGGAACTGTATCTCCAAACGAGACACTGCTATCAATGAAACACATGCGCACAAGGACCTGCAGGAACATTTTTACTACATCACGGAGGCTACAGTCCACAGAATGTTGATGAGCACCGCTCACAGCATGCTGAGCAGCAACGCTGTCGCAGTGACGAAACAGTACAGGTTGCAGGTGACTGAAAAGCACCGCCGTGCTCACTGCCAAGATGCAACCACATCTCCCTGCCCTGCAACTCGAAGAGGGAACGCCTGTGCACTGCATGAACGTGCAACCTGCTGCACTAAGACCTCAGCACGCTGAGGATCAACGCTGGCACGGAGGTCCCTCACACGGCGTCTCGCCCACACACTACACATTCACAAAGGATCTCCCTCGATAGCTGAATGGGCTGGACATCCAAGCATTTCAGCGGAGCGGTGATTTGCGCCAAAGCGCTGACACCAGAAGTGGTGATCTTCGCGCAATCCCGCAACTTCAAGATCGATAACCTAGAGCTGTGATGCACACGGGATTGTGCCGCTGCATCAGTCAGCTGACAGCGCAAGCTTGCATCTAGCTCTTTCAGCGATGGGCAACCGATAGCCACTGCTTGTATGGCTGCGTCGGTCAGAGACTCCAGCCCACACAGCTCAAGGATTTCAATGTGCGGGCACTGCTGCGCAAGGGCACAGATGGCGGCGTCGGTAACTTTTGGCCTCGGCCGACGGTCTGTGCATGGCGAGGAACTCCAGATGATCAATGAACGCAACCGTGGACAACCCTGCGCAACTGCGAGAAAAGCCGCAACTGTCAGATTTGCACATTCGTCCACGTTCATTTCTTCTATTCGGGCGCACCTTTGCGCCACCGCTTGCATGGCAACATCACCAATGCCACTTTCTTGGACGTCGAGGCTCTCCAGGAGAGGACAGGGCAAGCTTGTGCAATTGCTTCGACAGCATAATGTAGGCTCCTTCCATCGAAGAGAGCGCTTTCCACTCTGAATTCAGTCAGATTAGGGCAAGTCTTGGCTAGCAGCGCCAACTTCGTAGTTGTGGGAGCATGAACCTTACCGTCTTCTGAATCATGATTGAAACTCAAGCTGCGCACTGCGTTCGGACTGTCTTTCATAATTCTGTCACAAGCAAAGCAAAGTTCACCCTCGTCCACGCCGTTGACGGTGACTACATCTGCACAATGAATTTCTATGAGCTCCCAGAGGGCATCCGATATCTGTTTCTTGTGAGCAACGATTCTCTGCGCCAGCCGGTGCTCGCGACGCTGAGGCTCGGTAGTCGGCTTTTCTATTTGATGCGGGAGGCGTCTGAAATACAACACATCTTTCAATAGCTTTTCCACCGCAGGCTCCTGCTGCCCGATGTCGCCCCACAACTTGGACCAGCACACGATGTCTCTGCTACCCTTGGGATAGTAGCCGAGTTCTTTAGCTGCTTGTAAAAGAGCAGCGCTTTTTGCGCGCAGTGCTGCGGGGTCTACTTCTGGAAGCAAATGCTCAAGGTCACTGGCCTCCGCGACGAGCTGCTCGTCGTCAGCAGGCTGAGAAGCACCGCCAAGGGCCCGCAATTCATGCAACACGTCTTTGGGGATGCTGTCCCGGTGGACTGAGACACGTTTAGCCAAGGTGTTTTCGGCCCGCTCTTCTTCGGATGTTCCTTTGTTTTTCTTGGTATCCGGCCGAGCTCCCGAATCGCATTCACGACCTCTTGCGCGGCGCGCGACTCTGAGGACAAAGCACCGTCAAGGGCCCGCAATTCCTGCAAAACGTCTTTGGGGATGCTGTCGCAATAGTCCGAAAAACGTTTGGCCAACTTGTTTTCGGCCCGTTCTTGTTCGGACGTTCCTTTCTTTCGCTTCGGTATCCGGCCGAGCTGCTTCACGTCCTCGACGAGCGTTTGCACAGGACCGCTCAATGCAGCACGCTGAGGAGCACCGCTGTTCAACGCAGCAGGCTGAGGAGCACCGCTGTTCAATGCAGCAGGCTGAGGAGCACCGCTGTTCAATGCAGCAGGCTGAGGAGCACCGCCGCTAGACTGAGAACGTCCAGCATGTCCTGGCATTAAGGTGTGCAGTAGGCGCTGCGCAGTTCCTTGGAAAAGGAAATCTTCGAAAGCAGGGCTCTAGCCAAGAAGGCTACGGGGATGATGATGATGATGATGATGATGATGATGATGATGATGATGATGATGATGATGATGATGATGATGATGAGGATAGAAGCAGCAGCAGCACCAGTAGCAGCAGCAGTTGCCTGTGTCTGTGACTGGTTGTACAGGGAGCCGTAGAGGGGGCCGTACGGGGAGCCGTACAGGGAGCCAGTCACAGGCACAAGGCACAGGCGACCGGTCACGTATATGTATATGTGTACGTCCATGTACATGTATATGTATATGTGTTCAGTCTGCCTTCAGCCTCGGCCTCAGCCTCAGCCTGCCTCAGCCTCAGCCTGCATCAGCCTCAGCCTCAGCCTCAGCCTGCCTCAGCATCAAGCTGCCTCAGCCTCAGCCTCAGCCTGCCTCAGCCTCAGCCTCAGCCTCAACCTCAGCCTGCCTCAGCCTCAGCCTCAGCCTCAGCCTCAGCCTCAGCCTAAGCCTGCTTCAGCCTCAGCCTCAGTCTGCCTTCAGCCTCGGCCTCAGCCTCAGCCTGCCTCAGCCTCAGCCTGCCTCAGCCTCAGCTTCAGCCTCAGCCTCAGCCTGAGCCTCAGCCTGCCTCAGCCTCAGCCTGCCTCAGCCTCAGCCTGCCTCAGCCTCAGCCTGCCTCAACCTCAGCCTCAGCCTCAGCATTCTCAGCCTCAGCCTCAGCATTCAGAATGTGGCCCCCGAGTGGAGTTCTGGGAACTCGAAGAGCACGAAGTGGCCTACAGTTGGCTCTGGGCATTCAAAATGTGGCCCGGGAATGGAGTTCTGGGAACTCGAAAGTGGCCTACAGTTGGCTCCGGGCATTCAAAATGTGGCCCGGGAATGGAGTTCTGGGGACTCGAAGAGCACGAAATGGCTTACAGTTGGCTCCGGGCATTCAAAATGTGGCCCGGGAGTGGAGTTCTGGGGACTCGAAGACCACGAAGTGGCCTACAGTTGGCTCCGGGCATTGAACATGTGGCCCGGGAATGGAGTTCTGGGGGCTCGAAGACCACGAAGTGTGTAACTGTTTGTTTAAAAAACGAGCCCGGCCCTCGTCGGGTTCCGCCCGATCGGCTGCTCCCCGGATCCTGCCCGGACCCCCCTGGGGAGTCGAGAT